TTTGGGCTTTCTCTGTTGATTTCTCACCATTCTCAAGTTCAATATTTAGCTTATTAAGAAGCAGGCAGAGTCTGGAGGTGGTGCTCAGTGGGAGAGGGTCTGCATATACCAGGCCCTGGTCCCCTTCCCAGCACAGAAGAGATCAAAGAAGCACTTCTTGCCTTCCCTTATTTACCTAAAGCTGCATGCTTTCCTCTGTGTCCTGCTTTCCTCCTTTGACCTTTGGTGATATCCTGAAGATCACCATGCTCACCCAAGGGCTCTTTGAAATAGGTGTATAGAGTGTGGCCACATGAGCCTTTTCTTCAGCCGTCTTTTGTCATCTTTAATTTTAAGCATTGAGATTTGAGAACATCATCTGTACAGTGTCGGTTCTGTACCAATTGCCTTCTTTGGTGGCTTGTCCATGGTTGGATTTTTGTATTTCATGTGTTCCCCTCTCCCAAATCACACATTGTCTGGCTTTTCGCTATGTTTTCCAGATATTTGTTAGTTCAAAGTTTTAAATGGTGTTATTAAAGTCTTGTATATCTTTGCTCATTTTGTCAGATTGATGTTTGTGAGTGTATGTTGAAACACTCCAAATAAATTGTTGGCTGGTGGTGGGGCAGCTGCTCAGTGGTAGAGCAGTTGCCGAGAGACTGCATGAACCCTGGGTTTGTCCCCAGCAATAGCAACAACAACCAAAAAAAGCCGTTTTTCCTTTCTTTGTCATTGTTCTCTCACTTGTTGCTTGATCTGTATTTTCAGGCACATTGCTAAATACAGTATCTTTTTGATGTGTTGTTGTTTTTACCTGCATGTAGCAATCACATGTCCCTAATGATCTTTCTCCTTGATTATATTTTGCCCAATATCAACATTTGTCCCCTGTATTTCTTTGGTTTTTTCTTTGGATGACATGACTTGCCCCATTCTTTGTTGTCAGGTCTTTTTCTATTTCTTCTTTTCTTTTGTGTGATGCTGTAGATGGAACCCAGGGTCTCACTGGTGCTAGGCAAGGACTGTCACACTGAGCTACACTCCCAGCCCTTCCTTTTATTTTCTTCTCTCTCTCTCTCTCTCTTAAAGATCCAAGGTTTTATTTATTTTTTAATATTTATTTTTTTTAGTTTTAGGTGGACACAATATCTTTATTTTATTTTTATGTGGTGCTCAGGATCAAACCCAGGGCCTCATGCATGCCAGGCGAGTGCACTACCACTTGAGCCACATCCCCAGCCCTCTCTCTTTTGATAAGGGGTGTCACTGTATTGTCCAGGCAGGTCTCAAAACTGTGGCCTCAAGTGAACCTCTTGCCTCTGCATCCTGAGTACATGGGACTGACGACAAGCAGAGTCCACTACACCTGGCTTTCTGTTTTTGTATTGTTTTGTTTTTTTCAGGTAAAATTTGCATAGGGTAAGATTCACTGTTTTTGCAGTGTCAGGCTACTCCAAGCTCCAAACTACAATTTGTCCCTAAATGCCCATGTGCTACAGACTTAGTCCTAGGCTTAGCACTCTTGGGAGGGGGTGGAAACTCTAAGAGGTGGGTCCTGTTGGGGGGTTTTTCCTTTCACTGGGACCTGCCCTTGAAGGGGATATTGGGACCCAGCTCCTCTTCTTCCTCTCATTGTTCCTGGCCATGAGGGGAATGACTTCACCTCTTCTTCTCCTCCCCACCATGATGACTTCCTGGCCATACATCCAAGAGCATTTGGGTAACCAACCACAGATGGAGACCAATTAAAAACATGAGCCAAAATAAACTTTCTCTTTGGAAGTTGATGATGTGAGGAATTTTGTCACAGTAAGTGAAAGCTGACTGATACACTCCTGGGTTCCAGGGGGCCTTAGAACTTTGACAACTTTCCTCAAATACCTATTTGTGCATGTCACAGGCATCACCATGGTTGATTTGAATAGGACCTCCATTTCTCCTATGAGTCACCTTTCCATGACAAAGCCTCTCTGGTGCTCACTGGACATGGTTTGAGGAGAGGAATAAGCTTTCGTAGCCCCAGTAACCATCATGGTCGGGTTTGCTGTTGGCCACAGGTTTTCCACAACCCTATCTCTGATCTTTTTCAGAGGGCTGGGGATGTGGCTCTTATCAATAACAATCTTGTTAACATGGAATGAATATTTTATTCAAGTACACAAGAGTGAACAAATTCCATGACCATAGTTTAATATTTATTTTTACTTTTTTGGTTACTGGGAATTGTGATTGTATTCAGGGTCACTTTATTATTGAGACACAGCCACAATCTTTTTTTTTTTTTTTTTTTTTTTGAGTAACAGGTTTACTAAGTTGCTGAGGATGCTGCTAAATTACTGAGGCTGGTCTCAAACTTGCAGTCCTCATGCCTCAGAGTCCTGAATAGCTGGGATTACAAGTGTAGGCCACTGCTCCTGGCTGCTTGATTTTATAATTTGAACACATCTGTCCAGTTTTCAGCCCAACAAACAGTGATCAGCAATACAGAAGTTGGGGAACTTCTGTATTGTTGGGAACACCCCTTCATATCACTGTGCCACCCTAGAACTGCAGCACTGTAGATTAGTTTTATATAATTTTTAAAAATATATTTTTAGTTGTAGGTGGATGCAATATGTTTATTTTATCTATTTATTTTTATGTGATGCTGAGGATCGAACCCAGGACCTCACATGTGCTAGGCAAGTGCTCTATCACTGAGCCCCAGCCCCAGCCCCAGTTTATAGATAATCTTCATTCTTCAGTGCCAAAAAATTAATTGGTTAACTTAAAACATTAAGTTTTCAATAGTATGTATATATTTTTGTCTCCACCTTGTCTTTGAACACCACACATTATTGTTCCTTGTATTTCTTTTGCTTCCCATTTTGATGACATAGCTTCTTGCATTCTTTGCTTACAGCATAAATTAGTTCTGCCTATTTTTGTAATTGTTAAAAAAATCTTAAATTCCCAGAAACACACAAAAAAATTGGTAATTAAAAATCTTACAGTCCTCCAAAGTATATATATATATATATATATATATATATATATATATATATATATTTTGTGTTTCCACTCTGTTTTGAGCCCTACACATGATTTTCCATTACTGGTGGGGTTTTGGGGTACTTTCCAGCTGTTTTACCCACTTTCTCGGGTATGTGAAAAAAAAAAAACACAAAGAAATGGTACATTTAAATGTCATTTAGTTATAGTTTGTTTATTTAATTAATTGGTTAGTTTTTACAGCTTTGTGAATGGAACCCAGGGCCTCTCCCGTGTTAGGCAAGCTCTCTACCAGTGAGCTACACTGTACCCAACATGTTTTATTTTTATTAGACAATGAATGATCTGCTTCTCTTGGTGTAGGGTGTGGGCATAGACCTTCTGAACTTGTTGTTTCTGGTATGTGAGAAAACCACAGAAATGGGAAGACTTATTTATATGTTTGTTTGTTTGTTTCTGCTGAAGATGGAATTAGATGCTCCCATGTTAGACAAGCGCTCCAGCACTGACCTAAAATCCATGTTTTATCTACTTATTTATTTTGGGTACTGGGGATTGAACCCAGGGGTGCTTTATCACTGAGCTACATCCCCAGTCCAACTTTTGTCTTATTTTGAGACAGGGTCTCACTGACTTGTTGAGGGTCTTACTAAGTTCTAAGGTGAGCTTCAAACTTTTGAATCTCTTTCCTCATCCTCCAAGTCACTGGAATTATAGGTGGGCACCACTGCACCTGGCAAGCATGTTTTATTTTTTATTTAATATTTATTTTTTAGTTGTATTTGGACACAATATATTTATTTTATTTATTTTTATGGGGTGCTGAGGATGGAACCCAGGGCCTCGAACGTGCTAGGCGAGTGCTCTACTGCTGAGCCACAACCCTAGCCCAGCATGTTTTATTTTTAACAGTGAACCATCTGCTCCTCTTATTTTGGAGTAGGCTGTGAGCAGGGCCTTCTGAGGTGTGGTCAGCCTCATGGGCAGGTGAATGAGGTGTGTTCTGGGAGGGAGGGATGGGCTTTTATCTGATCCCCCAAAGGGTCCTTGACCTGGGAATAGGTGGGCAGTATACATGGAAGGGTTCTGTCAGTTTGCTCTCCCCTCAGTGCTTGATGGTCATTTCTGTGGCTGTGGGTGCTGAGGACTACAGGCCCTCTGGGTGGTACCCATCTCTGACAAGTTCTGATTCTACACAGGCAGGAGTCAGGCCATTGAGTTGAGACCCAGCTGTGTGGCAAAAGTCTTGGGGTGCCCCAGCCCAATCTCCCCAGCTTGGCGCCGTGGCCTCCTTGGGTGAAAGGGCTCAGCTCTTTGAAACGTGGTGAGCTGTTTCAGCCCTGCCAAGTGCCCTCCCTTAGGCCAGCTCTACTCCTTCAATCTCCAGGGAGGAGTAGGTACTTAGCCTCTCTCCAAGAGTCTGGGAGTCATTGGATCCCCACTGTCCCTTCCCCTTCCCCTGTTCCCCTCTCAGACACTGTCTCTGTGTGCAGATGACTGGATCCTGTCCTTTTGGATCCTTGTTTTTTGGGAACCTGCTGCAGGTCCCAGCCCTTGCTGGGAGGGGAAGCTAGGGCTGTTTTTATATTCCTGGACACCGGTGGGCTCCTTCCCTCTTGTCTTCAGGATGGTGAAAGCATGTTGGGTCACTTCTGAGTTTCCATCAGCCCAGCTGGAATCCATCCCCAATGCCTCCTCCCATTTCAGACAATCAGACACCAGGAGAGTGGAGGGTTGTGGAAATCTGCTTTATTGATTTATTTGCAGTACTGAGGATTACACCCAGGGCCTTGCACTTGTTCTACCACTGGGCTGCATCACAGTCCTTTTTGTCCTTTATTTTGAAATAGGGTGTCATTAAATTGCTGAGGCTGGCCTTGGAATTTGGAATTCTCCTGCTTTGGTGCTCAGGTAGTGGAGATTATGGGCATGTGCAACCACGCTGGGTTTGCTGGATTTTCATTCCTTCTTGGAACAGCTATGGGGAGCTAGGGGTGCGGTCGGAAAGGGTCCTGAGATAGCAGAGCTCAGTGTTGGGAGAAGGCGACCTCGGGGTCACAAGCGGGGTCGGTGCGGCAGCCATCTGCAATGAGAGTTGTTGTCAGGGGCGGTTTTTCCGCATCCCACCGAGCCCGGGTCCCCGCGCTGGCCTCCCAGGGCTCACCTGAGCTGCAGCAGAAGCCCGCGGCCGCGCACCGGCCCCCGCTCCCGCAGGGCTTCTGGCCCGACTGGCAGGGCGACGGCAGGTAGTTCTCCTCCTGGCAGCGCAGCGCCTCGGCTGTGCCCACGAAGCAGCCCAGCTCGTCCCCGCAGCAGATGCTGGGCCCGAAGCAGCGCCCTTGGCCACCGGGGCCGCAGGGGAGGCACTGCGGGGAGGAAGAGGGATAGCAGGAGTGGGGAGGTGACCGAGAAGGTGGGCCCCCCCTGCAGGGTGGGAGGAGCAGATTCCCGGGATTCAGGGATCGGGGAGTGCAGGCGGTTCCATGGGGTGGCAGTCCCTAAGGGCACTGGTTGGCATGGACGACGGTCAGGACGCACAGGGGAAATCTGCCAGAGGCCCCGATGTGCCTGGGACTGGAGGGTCATGCCTGTAGGTGGTCCGGCCTCCAGGCCACCCAGCATAGCCATGCAGATAGCAGGATGAGGGTCGGGTGGCTCACCTTGCGCATATCCAGCTCCAGCGTGGCCCTCTTGCCGCCCAGGGGGCAGTTCTGGATGTAGCAGGCGGAGGTCAGAGCCAGGAGGCCCAGCAGGCAGCAGGCGAGGCTGAGGCTGGCCATGGTGGGGGCACGCTGGGTAAGGGGATCCACAGCTGGTGGCAGTCTTCTCAATCCTGGTCTTTTTATGCTTGGGCGCTCGACCTGCTTAGCAGCTGTCTAAGAATGCAGTCGCATTACTGGTCACAGCAGGTCACTGTGGGTCAGGCTGTGTGTGCTCAGGGTGGACCCTTTCATTACCAGTCCACCCCCCCCCAGCATCAATGTCACGCATTTGCTAATGAACTGAGAGAGGGCCTGAGGTGTCCCAGGGAGGATGCAGGCTGGGTCAGCCTGGGCCGTGAGGGTGGGAAAGGAAGAATTGGATAATGGAGGGTGGGGAGTTCAGCCCAACCTAAAGCTATTTTTCTAGACTTCCAGTACCCGAAAGAGGGTGTGAGGGTGGGGATGGTGGACCCTAGGGCTCCTCCTAGGCCTCTGGCTAGAATCCCCATCCATTCACCTTGGTCCATACACATTCAGTCCTTGACCCCCTAGTAACAAGGTCTCCTCTTCCTAAGCCTAATTAACCAGAAAACCTCCCCACCCCAGCACACAGCCACAGCCACTTCCCTGCCCCCAGCACTTGCATGGGCGAGATCCCAGCTTTCTCCCACCTCTAACTACAAGTCAACCTTTCCTCCAGTTAGGAGCTGGGCTACAGTCCACCTGTATTGGAATGGACAATATCTGTGGCTATGTCACCAACACAGGTGACAGGCAACCTCCCATCATATAAAGTTACTGCAAATTTCTCTAAGGATTGTTTAGACTCATGGTCACCTGGAGATCAGGGCACTCTTCTGGCTGCCCCTAGAGCTTGGAATCTAATGGTTTAAAGAATCACATTTGGCATCAGAATCAACTGAGTATAATAAAGTAAAGCAAAATAAACAAATAAGCAAAAAATAAGCTGATAAGTAAGAATATATGATCTGATGAATATATTATCTTAGCAAAAAGCTTGGATTTATATCTACCTCAGGAAACACCTCCTCCCATCCCTCTTCTAGTTAAAAGGGAACTTGATGGAAAGTGGCTATGACGGAAACAGTATATATGGCAGACACTTTTCACAATGGCAAGAGGGAAGGAATATTGTGTAACATATTCCCAAAATCGTGAATGTTCCCTCATCTTCCATCTCACCCCGTTTTACTGCTTTCTACTCCTACTTCCCTGTTCTCCCTGCTCCTTGCTCATTTTCTCTTTTTAAAATTCTTTGTTTCTATTGCTAACTCTTCCTTCTCCTTTGGTTACTTTAGAGTCATTTTTTCTTCCCTCTAATGCATTGGAAGTAAAAAGTGCACATAGAGCCACTGCAAAGGGTGTTTTATGCATTGTTGAAAAACACTTATTTATGGCTACATTTGATTGAGTTATTTCCAGATTCCAAAGCAAAGGTACAGTCCTCCCTCTGCCTGTAGCCAACCTAATTCATAGTGGTTAGAAGTACTCATGGGTGAGAGCTCTGCCTGAAAAATCTGGTTCTCTGTGTTTTTGCCACTTAATATTAAGCAACTCTGATGGATGTTCTGAATCTATTTCTTGCCTGAATTCTGACCCCATTGTCTCAGTTATTTGCATATCCTTTGGGGGCCACATGTCTGAACTCCAGATCACTTTTTTTTTTTTTTTACATTTTGAGGTGATACTTAGTTGTCATTGAATAGTTGGAAGATTATAGAGAATTTAAAGTAGGTTTTTTAAAAAGAGAATCACATTTGAGACAATATCAAAATGTGTTGTAACATTTCAACACCTGCATATAAATGTAATTGGTTTTTTTTATAATTTATTGTCTTTTTTTGTTATGATGATGGAAATTATGCTTTGTTTTATGCGTTTAAAAATTTTTTTGAGGGGATGGGGATACATTCTAGAAAATTTGCACAACATGTGAGAGGCCCTGGTTTTGATCACTAGCACAGGAATAGAGTGGTTGTATGGTGGGGGCAGTAATTTCCTCCTTCATTGGTTTCATTTTAGTGGAGCAGGAGATGTATAATAGTGACATATCCCAGTGGACTACTGCTATAGTTTGAATCTGGTTGTTTCTCAAAAGGTCACATGTTAAAGGCTTGGTCCTCAGGATGCTGTTATTAGGATGTGGTTCAATCTTTATGAGATGGGGCCTAGTGGGAGCACTTTTGGTTGTTGGGTGCATGTCCTTGAAGTGGCTAGTGGGACCTGGCTCCTCATGGCTCTCTCTTGCTTCTCGACCATGAGGTGAGTGGTTTTGCTCCACTGCGTGCTCCTGGTGCCATATGCTGCTTCCCCATAGGCCTGTAAACAACTGGCCCAAGGGATCGTGGACTGGAACCTCTGAGAGCATAAGCCAAAATAAGTCATTTCCCTTTATAAATTAATTATCTCTGGTATTTTGGAGTGGTGATGAAAACCTAGTTAGGAAACAAAGATCAGCCTTATTTTTCTAGCAATAAGCACACTGTATTAGAGGAACTGGGGTGTGGCTCAGGGGTAGCGGGTCGTGTGCCTGCCAGGCATGTATAAAACCTTGGGCTTGATGTCTACTCACAAAACTGGTAGATTACCACATGTTGTGGGGAGGAAAGGAGGGTGCTGTTGTAATTTCTTTTAGGATGATTGATGTAGACTTCCTCTTGAAGATGACCTCAGAGCACAGGGCAACATTGAGTAGAGATATCATATGCATAAAGCAGAGAGCAGTGGTTTTATCCCTTCCCTCACACACACTGGGGATTGAACCCAGGGTCTTCTACATACTGGGCAAGAGCTCTACCATTGAGCGAAATTCTCAGCATTTTATTTTTCTTTGAGGTTGAATCTTGCTAAGTTGCCAAGGTTGACCTGGAACTTGCAGTTCTGCAGCCTCAGCCTTTCCTCAGCCTTTCATGTATACCAGAGTTTCTGGCTCTTCTTTCTGTCTTGATGTGGATCCGCTTCGGTTCCGTACCTGTCTGACTCAGGGCCAGCATTTTTCTCAAATGTTTCTATGCCACATAAGGTGCCCTCTTCTATTCAGTGCAGGAAGTGGTTCTCCAGCTCCTACAATTTTGGTCCCTGTTGTTCACTTCTTCACAGTGAACAACATGATAGAGAGTCCTCAGTTTAGGCAACTGGAAAGTGGGAAGAGAGAAACCCATGCTTGCTGCTAGTAGCAGAGTCCATCTGAACATGAGACCTACCCTGTTGAGACAGTGACTTGGCCACTAGATGGTGCACTCCATCTAGAGGAGAGAAAGACTGTGGGAGTGGGGAGGGAAGATGGTCTGCTGAAATGAATGAACTGTTACTTTTTCAGACAATGTGCTTTAAGGGTGTAGGAGTACTTTAAAGAAAGTTAAGAGATGGGGATTTAATCTGGACATTGCAACATTTAATTATAAAAGGATCTTAGAAAACCTTAACCTTTTATAGCACTATCATCTTATTTCCTTAAGACTTCAGTGACTAGGAAGTAGAAGGTTATGATTTGTTTGTAATGTGTACCCCCAAAGCAGGAATATTCAGAGTTGAAATCATTAGATTATGAGAGCTGTATCCTAATCAATCCTTTTTAGTTTGAATGGACTTATTGGTAACTGTCGGCAGTTGGGATGTGGCTGGAGAAGTTGAGTCACCGGGGGCATGTCCTGGAAGGGTGCATCTTCCTTATGGACCCTTTCTCCCTCCCTCTCTTTCTCTCTCCCTGCTTCTTGACTCTGCCATGAGCTGAGCAGATTTCTTCTTCCCCCATGCTGTGCTGTGTCATATTGGGCCAAGAACAGTGCAGTTGGTTGTCTATACCAAGACCTCTAAAGCTGTGAGCCCCAAATAAACTTTTCCTTCTCTAAGTTGTTCTTGTCAGGTATTTTGGTCACAGCTATGCACAAGTGACTGAAAAGCAAAAAAAAAAAAAAAAACCTGCATATAAAACTATGTCCAAGGAGTTGGTGTTGTGGCTCAGTGGGAGAGCGCTTGCCTAGCAAGAGTGAGGCACTGGGTTCGATTCTCTGCATTGCATATAAATAAATAAATAAAATAAAGGCCCATCAATGTCAAAAACATATAAACACTACCCCCACCCCACCACAAAAAGAAAACTGTGTCCAAGCAAGGTGTGTTTGTTGAAGAGATGCTCAGTACTTGGCACAGAGACAATGGGGAAAGTTGCCTTGAGGGCATCTCAGAAATTTGCAAGACCACATCCATTGCAGGCTCAGGGAGGTAGAAGGAAAAATTCTCTTGAGAAGAGATTATGGAGGTGCCTTGCTCACATGGGGTGGGGAGGCTTGGGGGTTGTTTCACCTTTCTGAGCCACACAGGCCCTCGGAGGCCATTGGAGCCATGATTCTAGGGGCCCCGGTGTGAATTGGCAGGGGACCTTGGCATCATCCTTCTGGTTCTGGTTCTGCAGGGATGTAGGAGGTTAAAGTTCAGGGGTCATGGAAGCTTCAATTGAGATTTCAAAGGCAGGCCTGGGAGGCCAGGCAAAGTGCAGCAGGGTTGGAGTCCTCATGGATTGCCCTTAAGAGGGCCATGAGTGAACCTGTAGGTGAAGCTGAAGCTGGAATGGAGACCCCAGGAATTAAGAGATGCCAGTAACATGGGCAGCTGAGAAAAACTGCTGGGGGTGGAAGAGCAAGATTAAAGAGAGCCCCTGCATGTTGCAACCAGGGCCAGAGTCAGGGCTGCCCAAGCCCTTTGGAGAGAACATCTTGTAGCCATGTGTCCTAGATGCTGTATGTGGATGGGGACCAGTTTTCCCAGCTGGGTTTCTGTCTTGTTTTGGCCCCCTTTATCCTTTCTGTGTCTCTATTTCTTCCTTTTGGAATGAGAAGGTTTACTCTGAGCTACTTCATATTGGATAGATGTAATTTGTTTTTGATTTCACAGGGACTCAAAGACAAGGGCTTGCCTTGAGTCTCAGGAGAGACTTTGGACTTGGAATGAACTTTTGGGCAATCTGGAACTGTTTTTTTTTTTTTTTTTTAAATTAATTCTTCCTCTTTTTTGTTTTTTGAGAGAGAGAGAGAGAGAGAATTTTAATATTTATTTTT